CTTATTGATTGTCTGATTTCTCCCGATTAGAATGGTTAGAATTAGTGGATAAACCTTGCGAACTTGCATGACACGTTTAGACACATCGGATTGTTTTAGGTACCGAAATGGCGTTAAAGGTTTCGATATCGAGATCAGTAGTGTAACCAAGTCCCCTTACCCATGCAATCTCTGGTTCGCAGAAATCGTGGTATTTCTCCCATACCTCGATTAGGTTTCTAGTCAATCAATAAGGATTAGTGACAACTCCAAATCAAAATTTAGGCTAAATAGAAAGATAAAAAATACCCGCTGTCTCGTGAGGTATGATTTGTGAGAGACTTTCGTTCGTCTAGTGATAGAATGTCTGTGAGACGTTTAGACAAAATATCCATTTTGGACCTTCGTAGTTCATTAGGAGACAGTTTCCTCATTCGTGACAAAAGAAAGTACCTCCTTAGCGTGCGAAAGCACGGCGTGACACCATCGAGGAAGATGTCCGTGACATGGCTCTACAACCTTTCCGAGATTAGGCTACTCTTCTCTCCCGATTTAGATTTCGGTCTAGATCTAGGAGTTCCTTACATGTATTTAATATGTGTTCTTTGAACATATTGATGTTCATGTTTCTGCATGGCGATGGTGATGAGGACATTGAACCTAGACGCGCGCCACAAGCGGAGTCTCTATTATATTGTACATTAGCCCGTTCATTGGTTTGAGCACCAACAACCTTCTTTGGCCTTCCTCTTTTTGCATATATATGAAGAAACACAAGAAAATGAGCATAAAAATGTTAATCGCAATATACACTTGTGAAAATAAGACATATCTAAAAAACACTAACTTGTGCATCTTCCTCTCGATGATAGCGGAGTCTCTATTATATTATACATTGGCCTGTGCACTGGTTTGTGCACCAACAACCTTCTTTGGTCTTCCTCTTTTTCCCTATATATGAAAAAACACAAGAAACAAAATGAGCATAAAAATGTTAATCACAATATACACTTGTGAAAATAATGCATGTCTAAAAAAACACTAACCCGTGCCATCTTCTTCCCAATGATAGCGGAGTCTCTATTATATTGTAGAAATAATGACACAAACAGTCCCTGAACTTTGGTCCAATGTGCAATTTGGTCCATGAACTTTTAATTTGTTTAATGTAGTTCCCGAACTTTATCCTAATGTTCAATTTGGTCAATGAATTTTTAATTTGTTCAATGTAGTCCCTGAACTTTAACCTAATGTTCAATTTGGTCCATGAACTTTTAATCTATTCAATGTGGTCCATTGACTTTTAGTACATGTTCAATTTAGTTCCTAAACTATATAAAAATGTTTAATGTAGTTCCTGAACTTGAATTAATGGAAGGACTACATTAAACATTTTCAAATAGTTCAAGGACTAAATTGAATATATACTAAAAGTTCAGGGATTATATTAAACAAATTAAAAGTTCAGAGATCAAATTGAACATTAGGCTAAAGTTCATGGACTACATTGAACAAATTAAAAGTTCAGGGATCAAATTGCGTATTGTGTCAAAGTTCAGTGACTGTTTGTGTCATTTTCCCTATATTGTACATTGGCATGTGCATTGGTTTGCACACCAGTAACCTTCTTTGGTCTTCCTCTTTTTGCCTATATATGAAAAAACACAAGAAACACTAACGTTATCAGTCATGATAACCCAACAAATTTCTTATAAAACATTACACAACTTTCAAATAAGACTCGCTTTGGGTGGCCTTGATGGTGTAGGATTCTTGCATGTCTTCTTGTTATGCCCATACTGAAGGTAGTTTTTACATCGCATTTGGACTCCAACTTTCATCAATTTCTTTCCGTCGCTATTTTGCTCATCCTTGTCTTTGATTCTGTTTTCTTCTCTCTCCTCCTTTTTCTTATGTAAGGTGGGGGTTTGATTGGCTCACCACTTTGGGCCACATTCTTTTTTTCCATTCATGGCTAGGAAAGGATATTATTGGTAGCATCTTTCATAAGCATCTTTCTTGAAAGAATCATCAACATAATCATTGATATCTACTTCACGAAGTGATACAACATATGTTGTGTTTTTATGATATTACGAAGATATCTCATTCTCTACAAGCATAAGTCTTCCATACAAGTCAACCACAAATTTATTATGAAGATATCTCATTCTCTATAATGCCTGGACTCCAATTTAGTCTTCTCCAACTTCATTCTAATCCATGGGCAAATAGAATCCGTTCAATCAACCATTAACTGACTTCTCTTTAACATCCTCTGCATCAACATTGTTCTTATTTCTTCAAGCATCTCAAGTGTGGGTTTTTCTCTTGGTATGCAAATGTATCCATTGAAGGTCTTACTTAAGTTATTATCAACCACATCACACTTGGTTCTTGTCTTGATGAAGCCCTACAAAAGTGCTTAGGGCATTGCCTCATGAAATCTTTCTAACCTTTAGGGCACTCCATATTCAAATCTGTCATTGCTAAGTCAAAATCAGTTTGAAATATACACCTCACAGCCCTTTAGACTAGATGCTTAGGAGCATCCCTTTTGTGCAATTTTTTTTCCAATTAACATATATGTGTCTTGCATAATTTCGAAGCTGTGCTTGTGGAGATAGGCATGAAACTGTTTCATTAGTCCCCGCAACCAAATTAGCCAATAAAAAGCAAAGAAGTGACATTAATGATTGCACTAGTGTTGTGTAACAACCAACAAAGATAAAAGGTGAGATATCACATTTTGCTAATCACTGATGAAAGTCCAACCCTTGTCTCTGCCCACCATCAGGTCATTGAATAATAGGATGAGAAACCAAGTCCAAGATGCCTCGGACTCAACTTCGACAACTGCCCAAACTATTGGAAACATTTGATTGTTTCCATCTGGTCCAACATCACACAACAACAGACCATTTAATCAAGTCTTAAGGAAGCACCCATCCAAGCCTTTGACATGCCTAAATCTCGCTAAAAACCTGCGTTTCAACTCTACAAACCCCACATAAAACCTCTCAAATACTTTGGTTGTTGGATTAACTTTCATCTCAAATGTTTCATCCTTGCTAACTTTCTTGAGCTCTGCCAAATAAGATCTCGGCATATCATATTACTCATTTATCGAGCCCCTTATAAGACTAAGAGCTTTTGATATGGCTCTATAACATTTTTTTTCTACAATGTCAAAGCAAACCTTTCTCTTGCATCTGTCCGCATTTCTGCAGCTGAGAAAGTGAGTCTGTCCCTAATCTTACGCATGTACTCATGAACAAGCCATGTAGCAGTGGCTTGCTTGTTGCTTAGGCTTCGACTACAATTACGTGGGTCTCCAACTCTCTTTATAATAAAAGTTTTCTCATTCTGAATCCAACCACCGTACAATCTTCAACCACATCCTTCGACACACTTTGTTCTTCACTCTTTTTTGCCAAGAAATGTCAAATCCATTAATTCCTGCATATTTTTCCATAATGTTCTTGAACTGTCTCATGCATAGATTAAACATGACAATGGTTTCTTCAAAATTATCATTGTCAGGGCCGCTTAAAGGTTCAGTTCTCAAAACCCGTGTTTTCATTTCATATACTTAGTTCTTCATCACTCCATTCCGATGAACTATCATCATTGTCTCTTTCATTCTGTTAATAAACATAGTGATAATAAACTCACAATTGCTTTTGATTCAAACTAGTAATACTTCAATTTTCAACAAGCAAACGACTAGTAAAACGATAGTAAATATGCAAAGGTAAATTAATAAAAAAGAGTTCATGAAAACTAAAATATTAGTAAAGAAAGAAAATGAAATCATATGTAACCAGAGGCAAGAAAGAAAAGGTAATCAGACCTAACCTTTGAGCGCAAGATTAAAGACTACCCAAGCGCGAGATGTCCGAGTGTCTCGAGCCTAGGAGCGCGCGAGATGGAGGACTTCGAGCATGAGATATGGAGGACTCTGAGAGCAAGAGATGGAGGTATGAGCGCCATAGAAGATTCGAGTGAGATGGAGGGGAGATGAGACGATATGAAAAAGAGTGAGAGCAATTAAAAAGCAGACCCGAATTGCTCATCAAAGAATGCGTCCTTTTGTAGAGAATTTGTCTATGTTAGCTTACTTAGGTTAAATTCTTTAATGACATGGAATGTCCACGTAGGTACAGTAATGGCCATTTTGCACGTTTAATTAATGGTGATAGATTTGGGACAAACGTAAAAGTTGGGAGATTTTTATGAGACAAAAAAAGTTTCAGGTAAAATTGGAACTAGACTTAAAATTGGAGGTTTTTTTGGATATGGGTTAATGACACAATAGTCCATGAACTTTTACTTTATTTAATATAGTTCTTGAACTTTAGCCTACTGTTCAATGTGGTCCCTGAACTTTTAATTTATTTAATGTGGTCCATGGACTTTTGCTACATATTCAATGTAATCTCTGAACTATATGAAAATGTTTAATGTAGTCCCTGAACTTGAATTAATGAAGGGACTACATTGAATATTTTCACATATTTCAAAGACTAAATTGAACATGTAGCAAAAGTTCATAGATAACATTGAATAAATTAAAAGCTTAGGAACCACATTGCATATTATATTAAAGTTCAGGGATAACATTGCACATTAAGTTAAAGTCCATGAGCCACATTGAAAAAATTAAAAATTCATAAATCACATTGTATATTAAGTCAAGATTGATGGACTGTTTGCTTGATTTTCCTTTTTTTTTTTTTTGTATATTGGGCCTATGATTAATATAGAATTATCATAGGAAATTTAGTGCCAGAAAATTTGCTCAAATTTAAAAAAAATCTCTTCCCCATGAAAGGAGAAACTTGCAAAGCTTATCTCTCTCTCTCTCTCTCTCTCTCTCTCTCTCTCTCTTATTATTAAGCCTCCCCAATTTTCAGATTAGAGAATGACTAACGAGCACGACAAACACTAATCACCATGCTTAACACAATTAAATAATAATTAATAAACGACCTTGGATCTCCCACCATTCTCAGCCTTAACCCCAGACGACCGAACCATCAACCATCAACCTTCAACCATCTCCTCTGCAACCTGAAAGAATCAGCATCACCAACAGCTAAGAACTAGAAGAGCTCCACCATCACCAGTCCCCTCTCGAGCTCTCATGGTGGTCGTCCAGGCCTCCAAGCTGACCATCCCCGACCTCTCCCTCTCCCACTCCCCGGCCATCGCCGCCGTCCTCTACGACCCCCACTCCCTCTCCCTCGCCCTCATGCACTCCGACTCCTCCTTCTCCCTCTACCCCCGCCTCTCCCCTCTCTCCCTCCCCTCCTCCTCCTCCCTCCCCCCGCCCCAGGCCCTCGTCCCCCCTCCTTCCTCCTCCTCCGCCTTCCTCCTCCTCCGGCAGCGGGAGGACGGCGCCGGCGGCGACTCGCGGTCGCGGGTCGTCTTCCTCGTCTCCGGCCCGCACCGGGGCGGGTCCCAGATCCTGCTCCGCTTCTACGCCCTCCGGGGCGGCGGCGGCGGCAAGTTCGCCAGGGCCCGAGTGGTTTGCAAGCAGAAAGGCCTCAGCTTTGACCCCGGCTCGGGGGTCGTGTTCGATAACCGTCATGGGGTTTCGATTAAGGTTTCTGGGTCGACCAATTTCTTCGCCATGTACTCGATTTCGAGCGGCAAGGTATGGGTTTTCGCGGTCAAGGCCTTGGGAGATGGGGGTAGTGGTGGTGGGGGTGATGATTGGGGGGCTTTGGAGTTGATGAGGTGTGCGGTGATTGAGTGTTGCAGGCCGGTGTGGTCCATTAGTTTTTCTTTCGGGTTGTTGGTTTTGGGGGAGGAGAATGGGGTTCGGGTTTTCAATTTGATGGCTCTTGTTAAGGGAGGAAGCAAGAGGGTCAGGAATTCGAATTCGAATGGGAAGCTCGGTAATCAGCGGTTGCCTAATGGAGTGACTGCCAGTGGGATTGCGGGAAATTTGGAGAATGCTCGCAATGTTAGTTTGGAAGGGAAGAATGATAAGCACCCTGCATCTGGTGAGTGGCTTTTCTTGTACTGTTTTTTTTTTTTTGCGAGAAAGATGTTGCGTAGATGGTTTTTCATTATATTTTAGCTCTTTTGTATTCAGTGTGGTTGTTAGTATGATTCTGCTTGCACAATAACTGTTTCAAAGTGCGGTTTACTTAGCAGCTATGATTTGGTATATGCTCCAAACTAGAAGCTGTTCAGAGAATGTCCTACGATTAGCTTAACTTAATAAGTCAGCTTTACGTTTGTTGTAATGTCTTTTAGACATTAAAGAGGTCTTAGTCCATGACAACTGTAGAAAGTTAGAGAAGAAGATTTTAGAGACTGAAGTAGAGGATAAGAATGGGTTATGAGAGGAGTGAGAGATAAACTCAGAGGAGGAGTAAGAACAAGATGCGGAGAGAAAATCTCCGCCATTTAAATAATGTTGGCTTTCCATTTGCAACAGATGCTCCTGTTACGTGCTGAATTATGAAACACAAACTGCTAATCAATTCACTAATGAATTATGACTAACTGCTTACAGAAACTTAACTAACGTTCAATGCATGTTTTTCCCCAAGTAACTAGGTATTCCTAACTCAAGCTACTACATCATCATTCTTCATCAGTTTCTTAATTGTGCCATGCATCAATCTTATCACAGCATCTGCTAACTTCCTCTTGCACTTCATTTTCACTGAGTCTGAGTTGTTATGTTAGTTAACAATTTAGGAGGTGTCTTTCTTAAGGTATTTCTCCTTGTTTTCTTTCGGAAGTTTACTCATCTAGTCATGAATCTCCATCGTGAAAACTACTGTCGAATTTGTATAGTGGTTCTGTCTCGGGAAAGGATGATCAAAAGAAAAGTGAACACCAAAAGGATCATTGACTTTGGAGATTTCAACAACTGCTGATTATCTTCTTCCACCTTCATAAATTGATTGTGTTTGCAAGAATACAGACCTTTTCCTCTACAAATGGACCGAAATTCTCCTCATTTATTCTGGAATATCTTTGAAATGTAAATCCCCTGCCTCCATTAAATACCTCATTTACTTCAAATTCTGAGTTTAAATGAAGATTTTCACCTTGTTGTTGAGAGCTTACCAAAGCTCACCCTTGAAGTGGGGTCTTCTCCAATCTAGAGGATCATTCACCTTTTGGGCTGAAGTTAGAGCGAGCGGCTTGGCTCAACTTTATGCATAGATCTCTCTTTGGTTATACTTATGAAATAAGTGGCAACGATGGTGCAATGAGAGCCTTTTGTCGTGAATGTCTAAATAGTACAAACTACTCCATGGTTATCTTTGCTTTGGAAAGAAACACTTGGAATTAGGCTCGGTCAACTGTAATGTGCATTATACATGAAGAATATCTTCTAGTTGAGATGATCCATCGACCTAAGATGAAGACAAAAGTCTATCTAGTTTATTTAATTATTCAGTTAGAACTTTAACTGTTAATTGAGCAGATAGCAACAACCATTTCATCTGTCATGCGTAGTTATAATTTAACAATGGATTTACATCATTCATTAATGGAAATTTTTTGATGTAGCGCGTAAAAGCTCTCTTGTTATTCGCTGTTGAAAATTCTTGTTTAGGCAGTTCACACCATCCGTTTATAGTGTAATAGCATATTGTTCTGTGGAACTAAGGTCCAAAATAGGGAAGGAAAGGTGTTTCCGCAACTCCACCACTCAGTCCATTTTATTCCACTTAATCCCTATCTCTTGGCCACATATTATGCGAAACCTTTCTTACTGTTCCATGAACTGATTTCCATTTCATCATGGGCACATTCATCTTTTTCCAAAAATTGTCTTTGTCATTTGATTCGATAGCCTTCCATTAGATAGGAAGTGATTTGATGAATACTATTATCTCTTGAGTGGAATATTAGAACGGAAAACTTCACTAGATAATAAACTATAAGTTCTACCAGAACTAATAACATTCGAGATTATGTAGGTTTAGCCATATGTTTCTTATCCTTAGGAGGGCTTCTTCCAATAGCAGGCTCTTTCAAAGAACTCCAATGGCATTCAGGTCTATACTTCTTGGTTTCAATGGACTCTTTACGAGTGTTGTCTCTATCCACTAATATTTAAATCTAATCATGTTATTAATGATTGGACAAATCCGAGAGAAAACTCCTCACTGTGAAATTGTAGAAGATCCCCTTTAAGATCAAACAATTCCTAGTATGTGATAACATCTACTACACTAGGAATATCAATGAGCCCGATCATTGAAATTGTTCAGGATGCCCTCTTTTAGTTCCAATGGTAAGTTGTAATGCATATGATTGATCTCTACTAATTAATCTAGTTGTTTCTGAGAGCTTCTTTGTAACATGTATATGAAGCCATCTCATTTTTGAAGCAGAACTTTTGACAATTCTTCAACTACTTAATATTTCAAATCAGTTGCTTCAATACCTTCAGCAGCCTGGAAAGTGCTCTGATATTATTTGATACGTGTGGAAATTTTGGGAAGATTCAGGTAATGAAATAGATGAAAAGGATGGAGAATGAAGGACAGGAGAGAAAAAAAATAAGAGGAGGAAGAACTAGATCAAGAGACTAAATATCTTTCTGTTTTTCTGATGTTTGAGATCCGGATTTCAACACTTTCTCGTTTTATATACGTGATTACACTACGATTACTAACTGACTCTCTAGTTTCTTGTTTTGCCTTTGGAGAATAAAAGGACTACTCTTCTGAACTTAACATATGCGAAATTTGCATCTTTTTCTGCAAGTAACGTGACCATGTCGCTTCCTAAGTCTTAACTTCAGCTGTTTCATCGTCAGTCTTGATCGGTTGCTTCAGTTCTGCCATGCATCAGTCCTACTGATACTTAAATTTTTTTCACTTTCTAGAATGTTGCTGTTTGGTGAACTCTGATAGAAAAGACGACATGCCTTAGTTCCTGGCAACGTTAATGTTGATGGCTGATTAATCCCAGCAGTTGCAAACATTCAGGTTTCTTCTTCATAGTGCATTGGTCCACTTTAATCTAGACTTATTGCCAGTCATCTAGTGTACGGGAAAAAACACTGAGATTTTACATGTCATCTCACCTATCATTCCAAGGCTCCATGATTGTCTTATAAGATAAGCTGTAAATTTTCCATAACACCCCCTATTTTGAAGTTCCTGTTTGTATGGAGGTGCCTTTATGTGTTAAATGCTTTATTTATATGGTGTTCTATATGAGGGAAGAAACTTACAAGCTAGTTCTCTTTGAGTTTTCTTCAAGTTGGTACGAAATATGCGATGGAGTGAATGTCTAGTAATTATGCTGGAAAAGCTAAGTCTTCAGGAGAACATGCTTTTGCTTGGATAACTGAGCATTAAGTTCGTGATGCTGGTGAAATTGTACATCCATATGTGTGCAAAGAACTGCGAACTTGGATTCGCTTTCAGTCAACCGTGTGATACTGTTATAATGTGCTGCATGGAAAAAAACCAGTCTGACCTTAACTACCAATTCCTAGACTATGTTAAACAGTTTTTTTCTTTCCATCACAGGTAAGATTATCTCACCTCTCTTGCTTTGATTGTTGTCTTTGATTGTTTAATAGTTGGTTCTGTGGTATTTTTTTAGGTGAATGACCATGTAAGGCTGCTCTCTCTTTGCACTGTAAAATAAAATTAGTTCCACTCTCTCCTGTGAATATGTAATTTGAGCGCTCAGGGGTGCTTGTTTTGAGCATGATTCCTCTTCAAGGTTGTTTTATAGGTGTCAATGCACTGCTCTATTTTGTGTGGTCCTTCTCATCATTTTCAGCTTACTTGCATTTCTTAGTGATTTTACGTAACTCTAACTGCCATGAGATACTACGATTATGTCAAACTTCCTTTTCATCTCTTGTCCACGCCAGAGTGAGTATTTAACCTTTGGGCAAGATTATACAATAAAAAGCCTGAGTCACCTATCAAGAAAGACAATCATAAGAGGCCTGTATTTTGGTCTCTGTTTCAATTGTACCTCAACTGTTTTATCAAAATGATGCATGTATCTAAATTAGTACTAGAGCTTTTTTTTTTTCTTTAGTTTTTTCTATTTCCATTAGAAAATCTACTTGGTCAACTTAATCCAGGCATTCAGTCATATGCATGGATATTTGGTTGTTGGAAGCATGTGCCCTTGATTCTAACTTGGTTGATCATATCTCAATATGTTGATCCAGCCAGTCAACCATCAAAACAACAAAATTAAGTCCTATCTCACCAAGTAAGGTCAACAATATGAATCATTCTTGACCATTGACTCAATTTTGTATCAAGTCTTCTTTAAGTTCGAAATGTTTAATATTTCATATATTTCCTTATTTCCATGCCTTTTAGGTCTCCTCATCCTCCCTTTTAGATTGAGTATATATCTCCACTGGAGCATCTGAAGGACTACGTTCGAACTGACTAAACCATTTTAAATGAGCTTCTATTATCTTATTCTTGATTGGAGTCACAACTAGTTCTCCTCGAATAGAGTTCAAGTTCTTATTTTAATTATTTTCATCTTCTCATAAGATTGATCATTTGCTCCAATGGCTGGATTTTTCAATCTGTCATGGGTTCTGTTACTAGAAATAATAATCATTTGTACATGCAAGTAGCATGAATAATGAAATAAACAGCCAATTTGGTGTTAATTATTAACCGTAGACTATCAGATGCCAGATTTGAAGTTCTTATTGAAGTATTTGCATCTTGTCATAAGTTTTAGAAGATAGGCTAGATTGGAATTATAAACCAAAGAACAAGCTCTTATCCTTAGCTTATCTACCATTGTTTTGCACAGGTTTTGTCGGTGTATAACTGGCTCATGGAATGAGACTCATATAATTGATTTCCTCTAATGGTTCTTTTCATCTCTTTCCAGATCTCTGCTTGTGTGTCGTTGAGTGTGCTGCCTTTTTTTTTTTTTCCTTTTCTTTCCTTTTTTTGAAGAAAGACTTAATACATGGACTATTAGATTATGATTGATTTTATTATTTATCATGTTTTATATTGGCTGTGGTCTTCCTAATAAGCTACAAAAATGTATTATTACTTGCAGTGAAACAGTCAACAGTCAAGTTAAAGCAAGAAGCCAATGATGGGGGTTCTTGTTTTGTGACATTGAAGAGCAAGGATGGTGTAGACTCAACTTCTATGTCCACACCAGTGATGTCACTTAAAGCGCTTTACATCCAACCTTTGTCCCCAAGATCCTTCATTGTTTTGGATTCAGTTGGAGATTTACACCTTGTATGCCTGCCGAAGTCCAAGGCACCCACTGCTTCTGATGTTAATTTCCATTTGAAGCATATGCCTCATGTCATGAAAGTGCACCACTTGACTGCTTTTCCTGATATTACAATGAGTATGGTGCTCTCTCTCGTTAATATGATGTTTTAGATGCGAAATGTTGGGAACTGCATTGTGATTTCTGCCTGGTTTCTCTTAGAGCCAAGGTAGTAAGCTGGTGTAGGTTTTAGGTTCTTGGAAAGTAGTGTCCTTGATTAATTTGTCACTAAGCTCTATCATTTTTTGCATAACAATGAAATATTGTAGGTTCAGGAACTATTTGGATAGATGATGGATCTAATACTGTGCACATGATGGTTGGATTTGACATGGAGGCTAATGATGCAAATGATGGAAATCAGAGTCATGAAAGGCTGATGCAGATTTCAGGTTTTCATTACATACAGATTTTAGATTGTCTGCTGCTTCCACTTTGTATTAACCGAAGAAGATGGGCTTTTACATCTGACGAGTATGATGCATGCCTCTCGTTTCATTAATTTTTTTAAGCTATGTAGTGTAGCACTTTGTTTGGAACTTATTGCTTGCCTTTTCTTAATTAACGATAGTCATCTGATTCCCCCATTTGAGCAATGCTTTTTATTGTGTCCATTTCCAATTTCTTCTTTTATTGATACCAATGTAGGGGTTGGATAGTTACATATATTGTTTTCTTTTGCTAGTTGTCCAAGCAATTTTTACGAGTGAAAAGATTCAAAGTGTCATTTCCCTGGCATCAAATGCTATTTTGATTCTTGGACAAGGTAATCTTGATCTTTCTTATATTTACTGCAAGAGTTATCCAAAGAGACAATTAGATTAGTCAAGTTAAGCTTAGCCATGTGATGGATCGGTTCTCTAGCCCGTCATTTCATATGGTCCATTCTCTCTGTTGTACAGGAAGCCTGTATGCATATGCCATTTCCTAAGTCGCTCATGAGTAATTTTTACCTGGTGAGCCACTCACATATTCTGGATTCCCTTGTTTTCACCTTGCTGCCATAGTTACGCTCATTAATTTTCAGGTCCCTGGCTATGTGCATGTTTTAAGGTTCTGAATGGTTCCTGAACTGATGTTTAGAATGTAAGTGGCTTTAAATTGCGTGACCTTCTGTCTTTTTTGTTTGGTTTGAGTTACTTATGGTACCTGATCTGTGATGGTAAAACTGTCGCATTTTAGCACTGTGTGATAAAATTCACTGGATTCACTCCAATTTCAGTTGGTCATGGTCCTATTTCTGCTGTTTGCTGGGCGTAGATGTCTGGTTGTCAAAATTGGGAGCTGCAGCATTCTCATGCATCTATATATTTTAAGGACCTTGAGAAGACTGAGCTCTTAGAGGTACATACAATTTTGATTATACTCAATGGACTGAGGATTCTGAATGTGACCTTTATCTGGATATTGTTTTGGAATAATTTGTGGCTTCAGGGTTATGTGGCATAGAATATATCAGGAAAGTCTTAAAAAGAGGGAGAATGTTTTTTTCCCGCATGTACTTTACAATTGAACAATTACCTCAAGCTCATTTATATAGCTTATATCTTATTTGCGCCTCCTTGAAGAGATGTTTATCAGAACTTACACAAAAGATCAGCTTTTTCCCCTTAGAAAGCCCTTTCCTCCGTTAGGTAGTTGGCGTGCAGTTCTTTCCTTTCATAGCAGAGCTTTAGAATTTGGTAGAGTGACCACCAGTTTCATAACTTGCAAAAGGGATTATGTAGTCAAAAAACATTAGAGGATGGAACCATTTGTGGAATTCTGGTCCTCTTTCGAAATAAATCAAGAGGGGAGAGAGCAGAAAGGGATATGTATTTTAGTGGTAATATAGAGGAATTTTGATACCTCATGATGCGAACTTCTGACTATGTATTCTCAGTTGAACAATTTGTTTTGTGAGAACTTTGGATGTGATTGAAGGACTTGTATAACTGTGATCACACTGAACTACTTCTTGGCTTCTAATTCCTCAAAACAGGTACTTTTATCGCTACCACTTTCCTTTGTGAAAGTACAGGTGCATGGACCGGTTAATTGCCCATAAAGGATTTCGAAATTTGGATCTCTGATGATTGAAAGCATCAAAGTGGCATGCCATGCTTCTGTGTGCTCCTGGCTGCAGAATCTACCGCTTTGCTGTTCATGTTTATGGGCACTTGCAGAGGTTGCACTTCCATCTCTTCACCTCGGAGGTTGCGCTTGCAGAGTCTATATGCTTGTCCATCAGATGAAAGGTGTGCGATCGATGTGAGGTCAGATAGACTAGAGGTCCCTTTAGTCGCTATTATGTCAAAAACAGGATGAGGGTCCAATGCATATATTCCGCCTTCTGTACGCAGAGGCTTTAAGGCTCGTCCGCACCGGCGTATCTTCGACTTGGGTTGGTCTTTTCTCCTTTACAAGAATCGCATGCTCTTAAGTTGAAGCGGGACCATTCTTAAGTTATGTAAACAGGAGTCAACGCCATTTAGTGTTTTGAGTGGTCGATCTGATGCTGCATTGCTAATTCTCTATGTTAATGGAAATTGCGTTTCTACTAGTAGGTTTGCTTGCAAAAAATGTTCTGCTAACCATGAGAAGCCACCTTAGCTTGGCCGAGTTAAAAACACGATGCAGAAGTTTATCTCAGAAGAAAGCTGCAGTTGATATAGGGTCATCTTGTTATACTAGCAGCATTAATGGCTAAGCTTTTCACTAGTTTTGAATCTTCTGGTAAAATTTTCTATTGAACGGATCTATCCGAACTCTAAAATTTGGTTAATATAAAATTATAAGGAAAGACAGAATAGGAACCGTGGAGTTGAGAAAATTGCATCATCACAAGTGTTAATTCGTATGTACAGAATGTGATCGAGCTATGACCCTTTCAATTTATACAATCTAAGTGTAATAAAGTTCTAAACCTTACATATTTGATTAAGTCGCAACATTTTTGGGAATATGCAATTAAGTTCTAAAATTTATGAGTGCAATTAAGGATATGATGGGTAATTTCTCGATGAAGTAATTCAAGCATTAAGGTAAAACTCGAAGATTTTAATGAACGTCAAAAGGCTTAAAGGCCAGCGTTAGCTCTCTCTAGTTTAGTTTCAACCTTTGAGTATTTTACCTTGTTACTTTTTTTGTTTTTTGGTCTGCCAGGTATAATCCTGGACTTTAGAGCTCTTGAGGAGCTTAGAGGGCTCAACTAACTGGGGAAACCTTATAAACCCATAAATCCCCATATTCGGAGAATGGGGGTTCAAATTCCCCACCTTCCCATTCCCATGTGGGAATTTTTCCTTTAAACCTTAGAAGAGCAGCAGTATATATACAGGAAATGACTTCACTAGAAGTCCTAAGACTTGTTATATCGATTCAATTGAGTGCTAAAGTTAATACCGTTTAACTTACAAATGGAAAATATCGATGTGGCGTATTTTAATATTTTCTTTTTCCTACGTGGTGATGACGTGACTAAATTATGCAACATAAGACTCAAACGACCTTGTTTCGACCCAAATTTGATTTCTAATACTAATTTTATTTAAATTAAATTTAACAAACAGCCCTCCCCGTTGTCGCCGCACCATCCTCCTCCTTTTTTTTTTTCTTTCTGTTTTTTAATATTTAGCTTATTTTAAAAAATTAATATAAATAAAATTAGTATTAAAATTAAAAAGCCACGTCATCGCCATATAGGATAGATAAATAATATAAAAAGCCACGTCAGCATTTTCCGTTAGCCAAATTGGATGGTGTTAACTTTATGACTCGATTGAATCAATTTGATAAGTTTTAAGACTCAATTGCACTTTTTGCAAGTCTTATGACTCAATTGCACTTTTATGGCAAGTTTCAGGACTTATAGTGAACATATTCATATTAACATTTAAAGTTGTCCCACATTGGAGTTCCCCTCCCGGTAGCGTAGCTCTTAACCTGATGCAATCCTGAAATTAGTCAACACCCACCTCAGGTATTTGGACCCTTATTGTCTGTTAGCAGGTTATGTGGTGTTTAGATTAATTTTATTAGTTTTATTTTGGTAAAAGAATTCAAACGTGACTTACTGAAAGCGCTTTAAGCCCGTGGCAGTCGTTACGTGCGGGATAAAATGAATATATATTCAGTTCAAAATGGTGATAACTTAACCAAATCATTAAGCCCATGACTATGTTAAGTGGATATGGAACGCTAGATTCTTCAGACTTGTGGCTATAACATGGTGCATCACCGCGCGCAAACTAAAATCACCTGCTTGAACTAGAAATGACCATAGTCGGGGCAGCCCACAACAGGGGACGGATTCAAGGTGCGAGCTACCGCCTTACTTAGATACTGAATTTCTTCTTCCATTTTAGGGAATGTCTGCTTGTCGACTTGCATTGACCTCTTGGACTCTGGTGCCGTAATTCTTCCTGAGTGTTGCAATCGGGCAACATCTCATGTCTAACTTTCGTGCTTTAAATTTACGTCCATCCGTCCAATCCTATCGAGAGGACCCGACACGCCCAAACTAAGAAATTCAAAAGGGATCACTCCAATTTCAGTTCCAAGAGAGTTGGGATCGTGACAGAATCAATTTCGACACTGTCCTAGCTCTCTGTGGTTCGCACAATCAAACAAGAAGCAAATTCACATTCTTTTCCCGAAGTGCTTCAGATGAATGTGTCGTGTACGTTCGTGTGGAAGATCCCCAATTGAAATCCTTGGTGGGGTCAAGTGTTGATAGGCTTCACAGGCTTAGGTGAGAGCTTGAGATTGTGGCCGAGATGTGGCAACATCCCAATGGTCCAACAGAGATAAGGCTGGCTCACAACTGTAAACAGAAGCTCCCCCATCTCAACCCTCAAGTCGATGCTGTTCCTTTCAAGCTTCAGTCCCACGTTGCATGTCGTTTGTTTTTCTTTTGTGTTTGGTTTTTGTTTGACGCTTTCAGAGACATCAAAAGACTTCCATCAATAGTACACAAGTACATTTGTCACAGGTTGTAGGGCTGTGTTGCTAAATTCCTTCCCCCCAGCTCTGAACCGAGACCACCCTGATAAGGTAAAAACATGGCAAAAATTCCCTCTTCTTGGTGTTTCATGAGTTTTGGGTTCCATTTTCTTTTCCCTTCTCCTTCCTTTTTTCACTTATCTGTGCGCAAGTGCTTCATCTTCCATCCTATTTAGTTCTTATATCTGTGTTATAGTTCTGATTCTTTTTTTGTCTGCTTGGTTAAACATTAAGATAATATGAAGTTTGCATTTCGTTTGATGGGCTCGAATTACTTCACTGAGATGAGCAAACAGAAACAGAATGTGTTCTTTGTGGTGACTGAAATAGCATTTGTGTTCACATCCATGGGCTGCCCAGAAATTTAGCTGCTTCGAGCACATGTTACGGAGAATCAGTTGTCCAAAAGCTTGAAATATGCCTGTTGGTTTTGAGAACTACATCTAGAAGCATTACTGTCTTAAACAATGATCGACTGATGTTAGAAGTCTTTTATTTCTTTCACTTTGCTATTATTCCACATGATGAATTGTCACATGGCAATAACTGTCCTCTAGTTTGTTTAAAATAATCCTTCGGTTGAACTGCTATTCGTCACATCAAATGGCTTTCCTCCTCATTCTTCATGCCGAAAGTGTCATGCGCCTTCCCCTGAGCTGGATATGTTCTTTGCAGCTGTACAAAGCCGATCGATAACTATGCAAGGTGTTGTCATGTTCTATGTTGTTACTGACATCTACGATTTCAATGAATTCAATCAGGTTAACATGGCTGTGACGCCAATACGTTACAAGATACCGTACATTGGCCGACCTCCATTGACCTGGAATAACCCAAGACAGTGTCATGGGCTGTTTATGTGTGACCACTGTTCCATGGTAGATGGTTCGAGATGGAGCTGTTCTGGTGCTGTTGATACCAACAGAGGAGGGTAAGTCTTGTATCCAAGATTCGTATATAGAGATGACAAGAAACAAGGAAGAGACAGAAGTACACTAATGCATCAGCCTTGCAGGTCTCTGCAAAATGAGAAAATGCTCGGAGCATCCTTTCTACAACGAGATTATTGGGCAGAAAGCCACCCAAAACGCCTTTGGAAGAATGCCACGCACAGGAAACCCAAACATGTCACGTGTCATGCTTCCAGGGATAGTAGTGAGAGCCAATTGAGGGAACTTGATTCTTATTTTGGCAAACTTGGTGATGTAGACAAGCCTGTCTTGGATGATTCTAATGTAAAGATTGAAGCGCTTGCAAAAAGTGATGTTTTCAAGTCGCTAAGGGAGCTGGACTTGCAAGATGCTTATCTTGACAAACTCAAGGAAGAAAACGGTATGTCAGGTATGTGTGATTGCTTATTTTTTATTCCAACGATCTGGTGGTGAAATTTATTGGCCAAACTTAAATGGAAGAAACTAGTAGATGTTTCAGTTATGCTACTCATTGCAGAAGTTGGGTGAGCGGGAATTCTCATATCTGTACACATTTGTTTGATGACCGCAATTTACTTTTCTTATTTATATTGCCAGAGTTTTCTTTATTCGACAAATTATTTTCATAAAGAAAGGACAATTATCTAACATCTATGCACGTTCAGATACCAACTCCAGAGACTGTACATCATCAAGTCCCCAGGACGAGATCACAGCCAAAAGTGATCTTACGGAAACTCCATTCCGTCTCAAAGAAGAATCTAAAATAGGTTATTGGAGGAAAACGAGAGTCCGCAATGAACTAAGTCAAATAAGGGATGAGAATGGGCAGAATTCTCAAGTTTTACCAAACTCTGATGACACTTCAGATCTTTACTTAATGTAATGCCCTGGTCTCTCCAAAGTTCATCTTCCAATATGTAGTGTTATTTGGCAGGGAGTTCGTTGTCTAATGAAACCCTTCTGTGCTTTGGCTGCAGAGGCATTATAGCTTCCATAAACATCGCTGTGTTTCTGTTCGGGATAGCGAGCCCTGTCCGGAACTCAGATATGGACCTATTCTCTCTTCCGCTGCTGTATGGAGCAAAAATCAATCACCTCATCCTGACCGGAGAATGGTGGAGGCTTGTGACGCCAATGTTTCTGGTACAAGATTGAGGGTTGGTTCATTTTCCCTTCTTCAACTGATTCAGTATCCATATTTCGTAGTCTTAGTACATGCAGCAACGACACACATATTGTATATATTCCACATGATACAAACGAAGATGAAATTAGTTGTGAGTAGGCATTTAACAGTCATGAATAGATGCTAATAATCAGGAGCATAATCGTTCTTGCAGTACCCTTGTTTCTAGTGTCATAAAAAATTGTACGTCACAATGAATTTGCATGAACATTTCTGAATATTCTGTGCGGAGTTCTATATTCCATCGTGAAGATTTTTGTCAAGATGACTTTCTGAATGCAGCACTCGGGAGTTTTCCATATGGCTCTTGGTTGTTGGGCGCTTCTCACATTCGGGCCTAAGGTTTGCAAAGGCTATGGTTCATTCACATTCTTCCTGATATACTTACTTGGAGGAATATCAGGCAACTTGACAAGCTTTCTACACACGCCAGATTCAACTGTCGGTGGCACGGTAAGCATCAATAAACAACCCCTTCTCTGTCCACATTTCTGTAATTGAGAAGCCAAACTCGGATTCAGCATATATAATGCATCAGTCTTGTATAATTGTGTTGAATGCTGTTTGTGGAACTATCTACATTTTCAACTTATTGGGACTACTGTTGATTTCGTTATGATATCTCGCTGCAGGCACCAACATTTGCCATGATAGGTGCGTGGCTCATTTATCATATCCAAAACAAAGACATGATTTCGAAGGACATGTCAGAGAGTATGTTCCAGAAGGCAATACTCGCGACGGCTCTCAGCTTTCTGTTGAGCAACTTTGGCCCAATAGATGACTGGTAAGATGATCTCCAGCCACTTAAAAATATGCGCATCCCCTCATTTGCTAGCCACATGATTCTTCAAGTTCAACCCCCCATGACCGTTGCTACGGTGTTGCAGGACACACTTGGGAGCAGCCGTCACGGGCATAGTGTACGGCTATTTTACATGCCCGACCTTACAAATTGATGATGCATCTTCGACCTCTGGACAGGAAGAGGGAATCACTCTCGTTAGGCAACCTGCAAATCCTTGCAAATCGCTGCTTGTCTTCGCTCTCTTAATCCTTGTGTTGGGCTCTCTGGTTTTCTTCATCGAGCCTCCTCTAGGCACACTTGTGACCGATGACTTTGTATAAAATATGGAAGTAGTGTGATGATAAATACAGGACCGTGTTAGATGATGTTACGAATGGCAGCTGAAACTTTTGAAAGAAACAAATTCTGTAATGAATAGCTTCCGATGTTGTGTAATGTCGGACTTTCTCCGGGGAACTCCGATTGTACGGTGATGGACATTTCTCAATCTTAGTAGTGCCCTCGAAAACCATTGCTTTGCTATCTACACACAGCGGCAGCAGAAGAGAGACGCTTTCATTCGAAGGTGACGAATCATTCTCAGCGAAGGAAGAAGAACAAGAGACACCAAGTATTGCGCGGATTAAAAAAAGAGATGGAAGTATCCGGGCAAGAATGTATCAATAATGACAAAAATAAAATTGTAAAATATGGGTTATGACAAGCCCAAGAGGGAAAAGGAAAAAAAAAGGGAAAAATGTTGAAAAGTCAAAGAAGCAAAGTGGACGCCTTTTGTTTATAATGGGACAAGTGCACTATAAGTGCTAAAACTTGTCATAAAAATGCATTTGAGTCCTAAAACTTGCAAAAAGTGCAATCGAGTCATAAAACTTATCAAATTGGTTCAATCGAGTCCTAAACTTAACACCGTTAAATTTACTAACGAAAAATGCTGATGTGGCGTTGACGTATAATATTTTCTTACTTTCTTAAGACACGTGGCAATGATGTGGCATCTAACAAGCGCCACGTCAACAAAATAAAAATAAAAATTAAATTAGAAAAAAGCTATAAAAAAAAACCAACTAGCGGTTGTGGCGGTGGCCAAGCCCTCGCCGGTGGCTGCCGGGAAGGGCCGGCGGAGGTCGCCTAGGAAAAAGAAAGAAAAGAAAGAAGAGTGGGAAAAGGAAAGAATGAAACTCATGTTCACACGTCACGGAAGCTTCGTCAAATCGGATTTACTTTGTATCACAACGCTTGGTAAGTGCTTGCACCCTTCGTTCTTCCAATTATAGAAGTTCTCAAATTTAGGACACAAATTCGAAGTTTTGTGAAATTTGAGCCGCATAGTTTAATGTTTGAGATATTAAACTATGAGATTTCATGAAAATGACGGATCATGTTGTTGTGGAGCCATGGGTTTAATGGGAGTCGACTTTGAACAGCGATTCGGTCGGAACGAGAATTTTAGGGTTTTGCGTACGAGTTTCGAGTTGTGTTTAGGCTTGAATAATTGCTTCAAGTGAGCGATTTGTTGTTGCGTAGGAGTCGTTTTGTTAGCGTTTAAGCTTAGTATAGTCGCTTAGTAGATGAAGTAGTATTTTACTCAATTTTAGCGTCAATTCTCGTTTAATTTACAGGATTATGAGATCGTCAGTTCAAGTGAGCTTCGTTGTTTGATTTTTGGGCATTCCAGGTGAGTGGTGCTATCCCTTCTTTGAGTTTGTAAACTTATATTTTGAAAATGAAAAGTATAAGACATATTATATGCAAAGTGTGATTTGGCTAAAGAGGAAAAGTGATGTTTATGGCATATTCGATGCATAACTTCGGATCGAGCATTTACTAAGATATCTGTTATTTGAAATATTTAAGAAATGTTTATGAAACGAATTGCAAAATGTATTCTGGTGGATGAGTTGAGTTGCAAAAGATTGTATACTTTGTTTTGTAAATCGATTTGTAATATCAATTATGGATTTGGTTTTGAGGATTGTCAATGATGTTGTTATGGATTGATATTGATGCTCAATATCACTGCGAGTTTATTGAGGGGCTTGTGGGTATGCATACTAGTTTAGGATATCATGTGGGCCGAGCCACTGGCAGTATAGGTGGAGACTTAGCCAATAGGGGAATTTTGGTCGTATTGTCACAGGGTGTTGTGCGTAATCATGGTTAGATATTTGAGCAGGAGATTGGCTAATAGAATTGACCATTGGCATGTGATTTTTATGAGATTGATCGATGGGCTTGACCATTAAAATTTGTTTTGATATCGTGAAATGGATATTTCTGCCGTAAACATAGCTATGTTGAAGCATATATAACTCTTTCTCTTCTCATAAGTTTGTTATATCGTGAAATTTGGTATAATAAGTTATGCTTTTGTGTTTTAAACATGCATAGTGGCTACTCAATCTACTTTAAAGAGACACGCACTACTCACTGAGCTATGATTGCTCACACATTTCATTTTCAATCTTTTCAGGTTTTTCGGTTAGTGGTCAATAGTATGAGAGCACAATTGATAGGGATTTTTTGTAATAGAATTTTCAGTATGTCTAAGGGAGTTGTATATTTGTTTGTCAATAGTTTGTTGGGTTAGCCGAGTTCTAAGTTGTACATATTCGTTTTGGTAGATTATAGATACCCTAATGTAATCAACTTATGGGTTTATCATGTATGTCAGGCTAGAAGTTGTGTTTGAGGCTATGTCCTTCGTGTAAAAGGACGACCGTGTCATACCCCTATCTACGTAGGTTTTGCGAGGTGACATCTTTGGTATCGGAGCTTAGGTTGTGATTTGTGTGGGTATAGATTATGGGATGTTGTGAGCTTGTGTGTCATTTTATTTTGCGTTAGTCTTTTGTTAGGTACGAGGATGTATGTTTCCTTTTGTGTAAGTGATCATTGACTCTGATTTTGAGAAGCATGCTTCATCTTGGAAGGGATAACAAAGGTAAGCAAGTTGTTACCTCTGATATCGAGAATGTATCTTAAGACTCTCGAGGAGCAGTTTTGATGAGAAGATAAAGATGGTTATTATGATATAAGTCCTGACTTTTAGGAAGTAGAGCAAGCTAAAAAAGGAATTATATTGTCAAAGGTATCAAATTTGAGGTGGAGGTAAGACACAAAGATCCTAATTTGTTTGAAAGTTGAGGTAAATTCAAATTGCGAATTTCGAGAACGAAATTTCGTTAAGAAGGGTAGAATATAAATTATAAGTTTTGACAAGTCCAAGAGGGAAAAGCCAAAAAAAAAAAAAAACAAAGGGAAAAAGGTTGAAAAGTCAAATAAGCCAAAGTGGACGCCTGTAGTTTATAATGAGACCAAGAGCTTGCTCGGCGAAAGGAAAGGCTAGGGAGAAAAAGAAAGAAGAGAGGGAGAATGGAAGAATGAAACTCACGTGCACACACCATGGAAGCTTCGTCAAGCTGGATTTACTATGTATCGATATTTGAGTTGTTGAGCTATGAGATTTCATGGAAATGGTGGATTATGTTGTTATAGAGCTATGGGTATGATGAGAGTCGACTTGGAGCAACGGTTTGGTTGGAACGAGAATTTTAAGGTTTCACATGTAAGTTTTCATTTGGACTTGAATAATCTATTTGAGTGAGTGATTCGTTGTCGCGTAGGAGTCATTTTGTTTGTGTTTAAGCTTAGTATGTTTGTTTCGTAGTTGAAGTAGTATTTTACTTGATTTTAACATCAATTCTCGTTTAATTGATAGGAGTACGAGATCATTGGTTCAAGTGAGCTTCGTTGTTGGCTTTTTGAGCATTCCAGGTGAGTAGCGTATCTCTTATTTGAGTTTGTAAATTCATATTTTGAAAATGTAAAGTGTGAGACATATTATGCGCAAAGTGTGATTTGACTAAAGAAGAAAAGTGATGTTTAAGGCAAATTTGATGCATAACTTCAAATCGAACATTTAGTGGACCATTGGCGTGTGATTTTGATGAGTTGATCAATTGGCTGGACCATTGAGTTTGGTTTTAATATTATTGTGAGATGGATATTTCTACTATAACTATAACTATGTTGAAGCCTGTAGAATTCATTATCTTCTTATAAGTTTGTTATATCATGAAATTTGGTGTAATGAGTTATGTTTTTGTATCTTAAATATGCATAGTGTTACTTGATCAACTTAGAAGAGATACATACAACTCACTGAGCTATGGTTGTTTACCCATTTCCTTCCCAATCATTTCAGGTTCCTCGGTTAGTGGTCATTAGTTGTGATACCTGAATTCTCATTACCCGTTAATGAATATGGTTAAATATTGATTGATATGAGATTGAAGTGATTTGTGCTACGAATGGTTGTGGTTACTAAAGTCTTGTGATTTTAGAGAAATTGAGAAATCTATTGGTACATGATATTTTAATACGTGACATTAGTGAGATAATCACATAAGAAATATTGTGGAACTCGACACGTAGCTCTCATTAGGGCCACATTTATTACCCTAATCCTTATGGTTCTTGTCGCGACCTCACCTCCACAGTGCACTACCTAGGGGTTCAGCTAATTAATTATTAAGTCTAAGCCTAACTCAGGCCCTCCCAAGCTGTGACAACCCAAAATTTCGTTCGTTACTTAGTTTAACAAACGTACGTAACGGAAAGTTACATGAAAATTAGAAGGATCGTTGACGAAATGCGGAAGCGTCAACTTCGGAAAAACTCGAATATTATTGCAATACCGACATACTGCCACTATGGCAACCACCACAAAACCTTTCTATGATCACCTACCACTCCGTCCTTTGACGTCGTATTACCGACCAACCGTTTTGACATTAAAAACTTCTCACATTTACATTACCATCGTAGTCACATTTTATCCACGCCAAACACTTCCGCGCCAATATTGAGCAAACCGTTTCTCACGGTCACTTCAAGTCCACCACACACTCTCTTTCTTTGCATGCCATCTTGGGGAATTGTGGTCACGCTATCCTCCCACCAATGTCACCACCGACTGCCCTCTTTTCTTCCTCTTGCATGCCACGCATTAGCCCATTTCCACCGCCACCTCTTCCCCTCCTTGCCACGCTAATTCTGTCCTCGCCACCTGTCCAACTATCACACCACCACCCTCACTCTCCATTGCATGCAGAAGATTGGGGAAGGGAAACCATCTTCATTTCCCCCAAAATTTCCCGACCGACTCCTTCTGCTTGTCTCTTCTTCAATCTTCAGCTTCTGTTCTGGATAGTAGCTCGTCCACTCCGCCAGTCAAACAGCCGCGACTCATTTGTCCCGCCCGACCCTACAGCCACTGGACCGCCAGAAACCTCTTCACGCCGGCAACCCTGCAAGTCCGTGAGCCAAAGGGGGTGAACAGGAGTAGGAACGCCCAGCTTCCGAACCAAAATAGTGCTGCACCGAGCCAAAATCGAGGCAAGTGTAATTCTGCCTCCCTATTCTGGACTACGACT